CAAGAAAATAGTGCTGGAAGCCATTGCTTAGCTGCCTGGTATCACAACATCACAGAAGGTGATGCCTCGGAAAGAGGTTCTGCCTCAGTCACCTCTGAGCTACTGAGGCCTGTGAATGTAATGATTTGGGGGACACAGTCTGGAGTCCTAGTACCTGGCTGTCCGCCAACTCCCAGCTTCCAGACCCTGCCCCTAAGCATGAGCTTTCTCTCTGCCAGTTTCCAACCCCCTTTTTCTCTCAACACTTCCACTAGGCCATTTTGAGGGTAGAGGGTCAATGGTTGGGCCTGTTGCCCCCAGAGGCTCAAGCCTTGGCACATCAAGCCCTTACCATGCAGGTCCCGTTCCCAGGGCAACATGGATGCCTCCCCCTGTCTAGCTATTTGCCTCCCCCGGAGACTCTGAGATTTTTCTCCTTCATCTATCTGAGGCTTCTGGGAGAAGTTGGAAGCCCATGTGCCCTTAATACAGCCGACCTGAGATATCCCTGCCCTGTGCAGCCCCAGCTGCACTGCTGAGGCGTGATCTTCCACCTTCCCGTTCCAGGGCCTCGAGGTGGTCTCTGGAGTGGGCTCCACAGCCTGAAGGTGGCATTTGCCCATGGGTGGTTGCAGTGTCTGCAGACAGAGAGCAGGCACCAGCGGGACCCCAGAGTGGCCGAGGGCGCCCTGGGGAGGAGCCAGATTGCTGTGCCCCCAGGCAGTAGGTGCGAGAGGGGGTCCTGGTCTGGAACCTGAGGAGAGGGGAGGAGGGTCTCCTTGCTGCAGGAGTCTGGGTGGGGTGAGCTCCTGGCTGCAGGGTGCCTCTGGCTACAGAAGGGGACTATGGTAGAGACAGGGGCTCTGACTGTGGGGGAAGGGGACTCCTGGCTGCTGACACGGGAGGCGTAGGAGGGGGTTGTCAGGTTGCAGGGATGATGGGAGGGGGCTCCTGGTCAAGTGCTGGGAAAGAGGAGGTGGGCACATCCAGCTGCAGGGTTCCGTATGATGGTTGGAGTGGCTCCAGCTGTAAGTTCTGCCATCAGGGGCTGTACACCAAGGTGAAAGAGACGCTTCCTGCTGTGGAGGTGGGGGATGCAGTGAAGGGCTCTGAGCTGCAGCAGTAGGGGTGGGGGAGCATGGGCTGTGACACTGGGCAGGGAAGATGCTTCAGGCCCTGCATTTGGGAGTGGCTGGTCTCTGACTGTGCGGTGGGGGTGGGCTGACTGGCACCAACATCCCTCTCTCCCCTTTGCACTCACAGGCTGCGTCAGAGACTGCAACAGTCAGCACACATTCCTGTCTGATCAGGCTCCCTCCCTCAAGTCCTCTGCGATGGCTCTGGCGATGCTTCGGGACTGGTGCAGGAGGATGGGTGCGAACGCAGAGTGCTCCCTGCTCATCCTGGATATCCCTGACGACTGTGAGGAACATGAGTTCCAGGAGGCCATGCGGGCTGCCCTGTCGCCCCTGGGCAGGTACCGAGTGCTCACCAAGCACTTCAGAAAGGAGCTCGGGGCCAGGGCAGCCTTGGTGGAGTTCGCTGAGGGTTTAAACCGAAGCTTGATTCCCTGTTGAATACCAGGCAAAGAAGGACACTGGAACATGATCTCGCTGCCCCAGGCCCCTGATGCTGATTTCAGGATATATCCAGTTTCCCTGCACAGCCCCAGGGGCAAGCAGTGGCCAAAGGTGCAGGTGAAGCAGGAGCTGCAGGTGAGGAAGATGAGGCAGGTGATGGAGGAGCTGCAGGTACAGCAGGAGCCATAGGTGAGGCAGGAGCTGTGGGTAAGGGTGAGGTAGAAGCCACAGGTGAGGCAGGAGGTGCAAGTGAGGCCGGAGGTGCAGGTGAGGGAGGAGCTGGAGATGAGTTGAGAGTTGCAGAAGAGGCAAGAGTCAGATGAGGGAGCCGCAGGTGATACAGGAACTGCAGGTGAGGCAGGAGCTGTGGGTGAGGCAGGAGCTATGGGTGAGGCAGGAGGGACAAATGTAACAAGAACCTGGGTCCAGCCTTGGCGCTGCACCCTGCAGGCTGTGCTGGAAAACAGGGCCTACCAGGAACTAAGACCCTTTTCCAAGAGGGAGCAGCCAGGCTGCGAGGAAGAGTCCTTTGAGAGCTGGGTGGAGCATGCCAAGGATATGCTGCAGCTGTGGTACCATGCGTCGGAAAGGGAGAGGAAGAGGTGGCTGCTGGAGAGCTTGAGTGGCCTGGTCCCGGACGTCGTGAGCGGCCTCCTGGAGGAAGATCCCAACTGTGGCGGTGCTGGACTGCCTGGCGGTGGCGCTGGAGCAGGTATTTAGGAACCGGGTCACTCGAATGACTTCCAGGCTGAAGTTCCTGACCTGCCCGCAGGGGCCCTTTGCCTTCCTGGTACACCTGGAAGGCCTGCTGCAGATGGCCCTGGAGAAGGCGGCCGTCCGCCCGGCCCTGGCCAATCACCTTCGACTGCGGTAGGTGCTGCCTCAGGCCTGCCCTAGGGAGGCCCTCCAGAATACCCTGAGGGGGATGCAGCTGGAGAGGAGGCCACCCAGCTTCCTGGGGCTGCTCCAGCTCATCCAGGAGATGGAGGTGTGGGTGGCCTCCCCAGTGAGGAGCCAGCAGGGTGTGGCCTGGCCAGTGGCTGCAGCAGAGAGTGAAGACCCAGTTGCCGCCCGGGCAGCTCCTGCCCATGGAGATGCTGCCCAGGCCTCCTCAGCCCAGGGGGACGCCAGCCAGGCTGATCCTGGGGTAGAAGATGCTGCTGAGACTGCTCCTGCCACCAAAAAGGCTGTCAGGGGCACCCCTGCCACTGGGGAAGGTGAAAATGCCCCTGCAGAGCTCAAAGGAGCCAGAGGGCCTTGTCCAGGCAGGAGGCCAGGAGGCTGAGGAGCCCCCCAAAGGGAGGCTTATGTTCATCCTGGAGGAGTTGGAAAATGAGGACAGGGCCAGGGAGGTGGGCCAGCGCAAATCCTCCCCAGGCAAATAGGCTCAGAGGGCCTCAGGGCCTCCTCTCCTCTCAGGCTGCAGCATCCTGGAGGCAGAGGGGAGGCCAGGCCAGGGCTGGTCCCTCATCCCACATCAGGATTGGGGCCCCCCACCTCCCTCCAAAGGGCCCTGGCCACCACCATCAGCCCTTCCCGGTGACCCAGATGACCACGTTGATACCAAATGGGGTTGGGGGAGGTGCCCTTCCTTTGCACCCAGTGCTGCACCCAGCCCCAGCCCCAAACTCTGCCGTCTCCAGGGTTCTGGCCTGGAGGGAGCCCTGAGTGGCCAGCTGCGGCCTGGGAGGGGGCACCCGAAGATGTCTGTCCCCCACCCCTTGTCCTGGGTTGGGAGAGACAGGGGCAAAGAGGTCCTCTCAAGGGTGCCAACTGCCTGGGTCTCCCAAGAGGGTCACCCCACTTGCCGTCCCCAGGGCAGGCTGCCCCCTGTTCTGGGAAGCCCACCCTCACCTGTGTAGGCCCCGCAGTGACCCAGCAGACGCCCACCCACTGCTAGCTGTCGTTCCTCTGCAAAGTTGTGTGTTGTGCACCCACCTGGGCAACCGCCTCTAGGCCCGGGGCATGTGCTGTGAGCTTCCTGCGAGCCCAGGTTCTGCTCACTGCTGCCTGTCCTGCATCTTAAACACCACTTCTGCTTTCCTGGTGTAGATTTAGGCCAGTGGCTGCTTGTTCTCATGGAGCTGTGTGTGTTCTTCTCTGAGCAGCTCCTCCCCAGAGGCCCTCAGCACAGACCCAGGAGATGGTGGGAAGGAGGCACCAGGGCAAGGCGGATGCTCACCCTGTGACCACGATGGTGACCATGACTGTGGGAGGAAGAGCCGGACCCGGGATGGAGTGGGGCTGCCCTGCCTGAGACTTCCAGGAGAGCTTCATGCTTTGGTGTTCCACCCCTGTTACTCATGACTGTTTCCTCGACCTGGTGGGCTGTTCCCTGCTGTGTTTACTGGTGTCCTGTGACTGTCTGTGATGGCCATAGGGCAGGGCCCTGCCCCAGCAGATGGGCTCGGGAGGGGGTTCCCTGAAGCCAGTGGACACTGCCAGAGTCCACCGTCCTGGCAAGAGGTGGACCCTGGGGCCCTTGGGAAGGAGGGAGGTGGCAGCGGGGTCAGCAGCAGGAGGGAGGTAGACGAGGCACCTTGCCAGGAACCCCAGGAGGAGGGATCCCAGGACCTGTGTCCTGTGGTTGCTGTTTGCAGTTTCTCTCTGTGTTGTGGCTCCCTTCTCTTCAATGATTTCAGTACATGTTTCTCTTCAATAAATTTCATTTCATGTTCCAGCCCGCCTCGCCTCCGCTGTGGGTAACTAGTGGAAAAGGTCTCTTTGGGATAAAATCGGAGCTAGGGGACAACAGTGGCCTGGAATTCTGACCCTATTGTGGTCACTGGGATACGGTCAGGGCATAGTAGGCCAGCGATTGTAAAGAATGACCTAACTGTAGTTAGGTCATTTTTAAATTGTTCCTCAGTTTCTCATGTTTATCCTGTGTGTGGACTACAGTGCTAGAGCTTTCACCATCTCTTTGGAAAGACAGAAGAGATGGATAAGGAAAAGGAGCAGAGCAGAGCGGCACCCCTCGCCTTCCCCAGGGTCTGGGTAGCGGGCGCGGGACGTGTCGCCTGTCCAAATGTGCAACCGCCACCAGTGTACGCGACGTGTGTGCACCTGTGCACCTTGGCGAGCGCGCAGCCGTCATGAGTGCGCCTGGGCGCGCCGCCATTTCCTGCAGCCTCGACAGCACGGTCGTATGTTTCTGGTTGTCATTTTATTCTTTTTGAGAAACGGTCTCGCTCTGTTGCCCAGGGTGGAGTGTAGTGGCGCTATCATAGCTCACTGCAACATAGACCTTCTGGGCTCAAGCGATTCTCCCGCCTCAGCCTCCCGAGTAGCTGGGACCACAGGCGTGCACCACCATACCCGGAACCAAAGTCACAGTCAGTCGCAGTGCCCGCTGGGAAAATGCGACCGTCCACAAAGCGAAACGGCCCTTCAGGGCGAGTTCGGCCTCCGTAGAGATTCTCCTGAGGCCACGCCTGCGCCGGCCGCCAGAAGGCGCCCGAGGATCACGAATGGGCCCAAGGAGCGGGCGGCCCCTTCCCATGCTCAAGGTCTGCTGCCGCGGTCAGAGTGGCCTTGGGGTGACCGCACGTGGACCGTCGCCGGCAGAAGGGAGCGCGGTCCCGCGGGGGCTGAACGGGGCCCCTGCGGTCTGAGCTTGTTTCGCAAGGAGCCCTGGTGGCCATGGCCTCTGGGACACCAGACACGGGTCGTCAGGGCTGTCGCCGGGAAGGGGGTGTGGACGTGCAGACAGGGAAGGCAGCCGGACCCTCCAACCATGCTGGGCCCTCGGGCTGACTGTGGCTGGTCTGTGGGGCTCAGTGAGGAGGGACTTTGTTCCCTAGAAGTTTGATGAGGGAGCGCCATGGGGGTGGCGTCATCCTGACATCCTGCAGGGCAGTGGAGCCTTACTTTCCCTAGCCCCAGAGATCATGAAGCCTCTCTTTGTTTAAAGGTAGAAACCAAGGACAAGAGATTGGTGGGAATTGCTCTGGTTACAAAATTGCAGAACCAGACTTCTTAATTCTGGGACCTGTGCTGCTTTCATTACAGTCTACCGCTTCCAGTTTGTGATGTTCTCCTTCTGTCAACAGTTAGCAAACCTGCTGGCTGTGTCGCTCTGGCAGTGAGTCCAAAGGTGAAGGATTGAGGGGGAGCTGATGCATTTTGATACTCAAAATGTCTCCTAAACTGTCAGGTATGGTATACCATCTCCTGCCTCCTTGATGCTTGTGATGGCACCCCAAACACTCAGTATATTTGTACATCTAACATTCTTACTCCTGCCTGGACAGGCCCTCAGTATCATTCAACGAAAGCTCAATTATTGCACAGGGAGTGACAGCACAGTCGTGACTTTCTTGTTGTCATTTTTTTTTTTTTTTGACACAGTCTTGCTCTGTTGCCCAGTCTGGTCTATGTCCACAGTATCTTCCTGGTCTGCTTATACTAAGTCAAGCAATTTCTGTGCTGGCATGGGTTCCAAGCACCTGAGAAAGCCCAATGTCATCTCTCTTTTCACAGTGGTTCTCTTTTGGCTGTACTTTATATTCCTTCTAGCATAACCTCTTCCTGACTGAAGGCCAGGCAGAGCACAGGCCACTTTAAGGTTTAACTTTCAAGTAACTAAGAGCCTCCCTTTCCCAGAGCAGCAGCAGTGCTTGGAGAAGCACCTGCCTCAGCTTTTATTCTCCCTAGAAACTGACCTTTCCTTTTCCCATTGTAACCTACCTCTGAGCAAGCTGGTAAAAAACCTGCATGCCCCCTTCTTTGCTGCATGAAGGAAATTCAAACCATGCAAGTTCCTGTCTCCATGTGGGAATTCTCATCTTGGCCCCCCACTTCTAACTTCAGTGAAAACCTAGGCCGTTCTCCTTCCTTTGCTTCCAGAAGCCATTTTGGAATTGCTGGAGATGACTGCTTCCCTCTCCTGAAAACTCTCAATTATATATGTAGTGAAACTTTTCTTGTCCTCTTGGCGTGTATGTGGTGTCATCAGTCTTAACATCTTAGCTGATTTTTGAGTGGGGATCTATCTGCCTCTGAAGGTGACCTTAAAAACAATTTTGCAGGAGGCATAATGGAGATTAGAGCCACTTTAAAGACCTCTAAGATGTATTAACAGGTATGGTGGTCCCCATCATATCTCCATTTAATCTACCAGTTCTGTCCCCTGTGGAAATTGGATGAATTCTGGAGAATGAGTGTACACTACCTCATGCTTCATCAAGTAGTAATCCCAGTTGCAGACGCTCTGTACCAGACACAGTATCATTGCTCAAATAGATTTATAAAGCCTTAGGTGCATAGTATGTGGCCATAGGTTTGATGAAGGCATTCCTTTCCATTTCAACCAATCAAGGAAAGAGGATAAGAAGCTGCTGTGGTTTGAATGGTTGTCCCCTCCTAAACCTATTGTTGGGTGAAATTGAGGACCGGAGAGACCAATATGGAGAACAGGAGGATTGTTTATTTTAGGTACACACCAGCTTAGTGGATTTGTATTCAAGAAGCTGAGCATTAAACAAAGACAGAGCGGGGTTTTTATAAGTGGATTTACAGAAGTAAAATAAAAGTAGCTAATTATATGATAGGTTATATAATTTACAGCATAGCTTAACTTGTGGCCTTGCATAGCCAGTGGCCTTATAGCTGCATTGAAAGAAAAATAAGAACTGGCTAAATACAGATATTTATAAAACATAGTTATGCTTAAGAAGCCAGGGAAAGGAATAACAGTAAAGGAATTTGTGTCTCTCTCTTTTTTTTTTCCTTTAACCTTGTTTTGGAGGGGAGGGGTGTCTGGAGCCCATTCCTTTGGCCTTGGCTTCTTAAATAGCATTATCTTATAACTGTCCTTGAAGTGAGCTTGCTAGGCAGAGCAAAAACTTGTTTTTTTCTTTTTAACCCTTGCCTTGCCTGCTACTTTTTTTTGAGTGAATGAATACATATTTATTTTTAAATTTCTGCCTCACTATGTTGAAATTTAATCCCCAGTGTGACAGTATTGAGAGGTGTGGCTTTAAGCCGTGATTGGGTCATGAGGGCCTTGCCCTCATGAGTAGATTAATCCAATCATTGATTAATGGGTTAATGGATTAATGGGTTATCATGGGAGTGATACTAGTGGCTTTATAGGAAGAAGAGAGAGAGAGACCTGAGCAAACGCAGCCGTATCACCATGTGATGTGTTGTGGCACCTCAGGACTCTTCAGAGAGTCCCCACCATCAAGAAGGCCCTCACCAGATGCTGCCCCTTTACCTTGGACTTCTCAGCCTCCATAACTGTAAGACCTGTTTTATTTCTTTCTAATTAATTACCCAGTTTCAGGTGTTCGATTATAAGCAATGGAAAATGGACTGACAGAAGCATTTCACGATCACGTAGACAAACAAAAATCTTTGTTTACAATTTGTCTCAAGACCATGTTAACTCTTCTGCCCTGTGTTACACTATCCTCTATCATAATATAGTCCAAAGAGATGTGGGTCATCTAGACAGTGCATAGAATGAAACATGGATCTGTTACACTGACATCATCATTCTGATTGGACAGGACAAGTAAGAGGCAGCCTACACACTGGGAGGCCTTGGTAAGACACGTGCACTCCAGAGGGTGGACAATAACCCCTATGGGGATTCAGAGATCTGCTACATCAGTGAAGTTTTTAGGGGTCCAGTGGTCGGAGGCATGCCAGGATGTCCCCTCCAAAGGAAAAGACAAATTACTGCCTCTTGAATCCTCCATCATAAAGAAAGTAGTACACCTGGTAGACCTCTTTGGGTTTGGGGGAGAAAACATTCCACCCATAAGATAACTTCTGAGGTAGACACACTGGAGGACACAGAAGGCTGGGAGATTTAAGAGAGGCAGGGAGCAGGAAAGTGATCTGCAGCAGGTCCCGGCTGCAGTGCAAGCAACTCTTGAACCATCTCATCTGACAGACCCTGCAGTGTCAGAGGTGTCAGTGGTAAGAAAGGAGGCAGGGTAGGGTTTAAGACCAGTCCCCATGGGAGGATCGCCACACAGGCCCCTAGGGTTCTGGAGCAGGGCCATGCCACCCGCATCAGAGAATCATACACCTTTTTAGAAAACAGCTTCTGGTGTGCTTCTGGGCCCTGGCAGAGACAATGCTTGACCGTGGGACACCAAGTGACTGTGTGTCACTTGTAAGCTGAAATTTCCCCTTACAAGCTGGGTCTGTCAGACCATCGGGCGAAAGTCAGATGACCCTCCAGCAATCCATTGCACGATGGAAATAGTTCATCTAGTCAGGAACAGAAGTGTGAGTGAGCTACGGAAGCAGCAGCCAAGACACTTGCGTGACCCATCACAGTTATATCAGTGCCCCTCCCTTAGCTCACACCTATGGCTGTGTGATCTCACGTGGCTAGATGAAGGAGGAGGAAAAGGCCTGAATATTGCTTATGAATGGCTTGGCTCAGTCTCTGGCCAATGGACAGCAGCTATATTCTAGCCACACCCACCTAGGGACGGCCCTGAAAGACAGTGGGGAGGGAAGATCTTCCTGGTGGGTGGAACTTTAAGGTGTGCACCTTGTCATCCACTTTGTGTGGGAGAAGTGGCCCACGGTGGGAATATGCACAGATTTCTGAGCAGTGGCCAATGGGCTAGCCAAAGGACTAAAAAGGAAAGGACTGGAAAACTGGAGACAAGGAGGGCTAGGGTAGAGACATATGGATAAACATATGGGAGTGAGCATGAAGGAAAAGTTTACATCACATACGAGTACCCACCAGAAAGCATCAACAGTGGAAGAGGAGCTGAACAGTCAAGTGCACAAAATGATGCAGCAAGTTGGGCATTAGCCACACTTCACCATCAGCCAGTCCAGAACTGACACAATGGGCACATAAACAAATGGGCCACAGTGTGAGAGATGGAGACTGCTCGCAGGCCCAGAAGCATGGAATCCTACTTAACAAGGCCTTTATTGCTGCTACTGGCTCTGAAGGTCCAGTCTTCCAGCGAAAGAGACCAATGTTGAGACCCCAATATGGCACCATTTCTCCATGTTGGGTCCGTTATCTCTTAGAAGAGACATCCGTTCTTTCTTACAAGGACAGAAACCTATTCTGAGTATGGGTTTTCCTTTCCTCCTGGCAGAATTTCAGCCAACATCACTATCCAGGGGCTTTCAGAGTGCATGACCTGCAGACCTGGAATCCCACACAAGAGGGTATCCTACCAAGGGACACACTTCAGAATGAAGGAGGTATGTGTGTGAGCCCATGAGCATAGGATAGTCTGGTATCACACTGCCACCCAGAAGCTGCTAGCTTGATAGAGTGTTGGAATGGCCTTCTGGAGGTGTAGCTGAAGCACATGCTTAGAGGCAACACCCTACAACGATGAGGCGCCATCCTGCAGGATGCAGTATATGCACTGACTCAGAGATGTCCATGTGGCACTGTGTCCCCAGTAGGAAGAATACATGGGTCTGGAAGCCATAGGGTGGAGGCCAAAGTGGCCTCACTTTCCATCTTTCCCAATGACCTACTCAGGGGCCAACACTGTGCTTCCCGTCTCCTCAATTCTAGGCTCTGCAGGGTAGAGGTTCTGGTTCTTGGCACTCTTATCAGGAAATACAGCCTAGGTTCCAGTTGTACTTATAGCCACCACTGCTGCCTGGCATTTTAGGGTTCCTTGATTACAGACACCAGCAAGCAGGAAGAATCATCATGGTGGTGGGAGTAATAGATAATTATCAAGGAAGAGGCAAGACTGCTGTTATTATATAATAGAAGCAGAGAGGAATATGCTCAGGACTCAGATATCTTCTCTAGTGACTTTTGGTACTCCCTTGCCTCATTGGCTGTAAGTGATTAAGTACAGTGTGAGTGGTCTAAGAAGGGTATGGATACAAGGGACTCAGACCACTCAGGGATGAAAGAAGCTGCCAAAACTGCAAAGGTTATAGTTGAGGGTGAGGGAATCCTAGAATGGATAGTGGAAGAGGGTAATCATGAACACCTGTTGCAGTTGCAGGACCAACTGCACTGATGGGGCTTGTACTTTGTCCTGCCAACTTTTCTCTTCTTCTTCTTGTTCTTCTTTTTTTTTTTTTGAGACAGAGTCTCGCTCTGTCACCCAGGCTGGAGTGCAGTGGTGCGATCTCTGCTCACTGGAAGCTCTGCCTGTCGGGTTCACACCATTCTCCTGCCTCAGCCTCCCAAGTAGCTGGGACTGCAGGCCCGCCACCACACCCAGCTATTTTTTTTTTTTTTTTTTTGTATTTTTAGTGGAGACGGGATTTCACCTGTTAGCCAGGATGGTCTCGATCTTCTGACCTCGTGATCCGCCTGCCTCGGCCTCCCAAAGTGCTGGGATTACAGGCTTGAGCCACCACGCTCGGCCCCCAACTTCTAAGTTTGCCTTCAGAAAGAGTGGCCCACAGGAGCCAAGAAGGAACTGCTTCCCAAGCAACTATGGAGTAGTGGATCTGTGTGGCACAAAGGATGGCCTGTGGCAGCTATGGAAGTGCACTGCTTGGATGTCACTTTAAGAGAGGGCCTGTTATAAGGAGTGCAGTTAGTCAACAGCATCCAGGTAGAATGTCTTCAGGTTCCAAGGCAGCATTTGAGGTGAGACCATGCTAGTTCCAGGCAGCTCCCTATCAGAGGCTTAGTACAGCAGAGTACTAGGATCATTTTTGCTCAGTGTGGGGCTTCTCTATGGGCCATCTTTGCATCAGAGCTCCCCGTTGGGCTGGCCATGACTTTTTGAAAGCTGCACCGCTGTCTGAGACTCTTCCTTCCAATCCTTCCTTCTCCCTCTCTTTCCACTTGTGTTAGACCTGCCCTGTGGTCTGAAGGTTCTTCCTGCCTCTTTCTGTGTCATCTCCCCTTTATCTTCTGTGATAATTTTTTTTTGCACTTCTAACTCCATCTTGACTTCCTGGAGGACCTGAACTGATGCATTTGATTTGGTTTTAGAGATAGCACCTCCTTATCCTCCCTCCTGGGGAGGGTAGGAGAAAAGCCAAAGCACTCTTTGTCCTACAAATTTCGTTTAAAAATAACCTCTGACATGTTTAATCTCTTCAGTAGCCTTGATGGGATGGTGTTTGCTGAATGGGCTTTGCCATCATTTAATAAATTCAGGGAGTTTGTTGAAGGAATTTGAGGGCTGATCAAAGAAAAAGATATGACCACAAGGGACAGTAACACAACAAGCTTTATTGGGTGGCACTGGGACAGGGTTGCATAAGAGGGAAAGTCCTCACAGCACAGGACTATCCAGAGGTTTATGGATGGGCTAAGAGGCCACCACCTGGAAGGGAAGGAAGGCATAGGGACTCACAGGGCAGAGAAGGAACAAAGAGGGAGCTTATGTGTCTGGGTGAGGTCAGTCAGTACCACGTTGGAGAGTCTCTGCATATGCAAAGCAGGCAGGCTTTAAATGGCTAAAAAGCTGCTTATTTGGGATGTTTTAAAAATAATCAGGCTGGGTGTGGTGGCTCATGCCTGTAATCCCAGCATTCTGGGAGGCTGAGGCATGCGGATTGCCTGAGCTTGGGAGTTTGAGACCACCACGGGCAACATGGTGAAACCCCATCTCTACTAAAATACAAAAAATTAGCTGGTCACGGTGGTGTGTGCCTGTAATCCCAGCTACTTGGGAGACTGAGGCAGTAGAATCGCTTGAGCCCAGGAGGTAGAGGTTGAAGTGAGCCAAGACCGTGCCACTGCACTCCAGCTTGGGCAACATAGTGAGACTTCGTCTCAAATAATAATCATAATAATCAGACGTGTAAAAATATGAGTTGGGCACCAGTGAGCTTTTCAGGTAACAGGTCTCAGTCTACAGTGAAGAAATAAACAACATAGGGGCCAATACACAGAGGCCATCTTTAGTTCATTTATATAACAAACAATGTGTGATGTTTCCATTGAGAATGTAGATTGTACAGGGACTTAGCACCTCCTGTCCTCAGATTTGGGCTAAAGTTCTGTGAAAATAGGCCACATTTCATTTACCATCCTGTTATACATGCAATACCCAGCAACTATGCCCTGCTGTGTCTTGTGGCAGATGCTAGGGACACAATGGTCTAGGGTTCCTGCTGTCGCAGAGCTTCGAAGTGCTGAAAGAATTGCACAAATGCATATGTGATCACTGGGTTAAGTGCTAAGGAAGGCAAGCAGTACAAGAGTGCTATAAGAATGTGTTAAAGAGTGACCTCAGAAGAGGGTGCGGGTGCCAGAGTAAGCATCCTTGATGAAGGGACATGAATGCTGGGACATGGAGGATAAGTAGGATTTAGCCAAGCAAAGAGTAGAGGTAGGGGTGGAACCATGCTCAGGCAACAGAGACAGAATATGCAGTGGGCCTTGAAGCTTCCTCTACCTAAGCTACCTACTCCCAGTCAGTCACACCCTAGGCTTTGTCATCTCCTAAAATTGTCCCATCTTGAGAATCAGTGGCTCAAGTATGCTACTTTCTGACCACAGACTCCCTACTGTGATCCTTTTTCAACCTCTTTGGGGCCTTCAGATGTTGACTCCTCTGTTTCTTCCAACCTATCAGCCCTCTTCTTTCCCTCCTAGTTTCTTTTTGTTTAAAGAGCTTTACTCAGACATAATTCACACACATGTATTTAAAGTGTAAAATCTGATCAATGTTGGTATAAGCATACACCTGTGAACTCATCACCACAGTCAAGATTAGTGAGTGTATTCATCACTCCCAGAAAGTTCCTCATTCCCCTCTGTAATCTCTCCTTCCCTGTATCCTAAAACGTTGCTAAACTCTAAACTCCCTTACTAGTTCTAATAGATCTTTTGGGTAGATTCTATCAGATTTCCCACACAGAAAATGTTACCTGCAAACAAAGACAGTTGTACTTCTTCCTTTATGATATGAATACTTTTATTTATTTTGCTTGCCCTATTTTCAAAAGGCTTTCTTCTTGGCTCCATAGCTTCTTACTACATACAACTTCATAATTCAATATTGGTCTTGCGTGGCAAGCCAGCAGTGTGACAGACACAGTCTTCCATCTCTCACTTCTCATTGGAATCTCAGCTCCTTAGGTCACCAAGTTTGTCTCTCCAGCCCTGTGAGACTATGGAAATCTCTACTGGGTGTTTGACCCCCAGCTGTGGCCATCTAAGTAAAGCCTCAATTCTCAGCCTCCTTCCCTGCACCTGGAAGTGTCTGCAGCACCACCTCATCCTTTCATGGTTCTCTTCTTTCCTGCATGTTGGCCCCTCAATATTCATTTTAATAGGTCTCCAGTGCCTTTAAACTGATCCTTTTGTCATGTTTCATCGGACTTTTCTTCTTGTTCTCTATAGGAGCATTTGTCTGCCAAAAGCTACTCTTTTATACCCATAAGCAGAAGTCAAATCAATAAAATTGTTACTCCTTAAATGTTCTCAAACATTTCTACTTCTCTTTATCTCTTCCACCACCATCCTAGTCCAAATCACTCCTCTGTGTTAGTGCAACGACCTCCTTCATTGCTCTCCTTTCATCCACTCTTGCCTCCCACCTAGGCATTCCCCATATAGCAGTCAGAATTCTTTTTTAAAAAACAGGTAAGATTATATCACTTCCCTGCTCAAAACCCTTAAATTGTTTTCGATAGTTTTCTTAGCATAAAATGAAAAATAAACATTATTAACAACAATAAATGGTACTTGCTGAACTGTGGTTATGCTCAATGTGCATCAGTAATGCAAATGGCCTTTCCTGTGACTCCTCTCGTTAATACAGAGAAATAAGCAGACATTCATCAAGTTCAACTTAATTGGTCAAGGACACAGATAGGGGCAGTAAAGGCAGAATTTCGAGCCAGGACTCTTCAGCTCAAGAGCATGTCTTTGAAGCAGAGTCCTGAATGGAAAAATGACTCCTTTTCTATGTTCTCATCTTGGTATCAGTTAGGGCTGTCCAGAGAAACAGAATCAATAGGAGAGATAGATGTATCTCCTGTTGAGGCAGAGAGAGAGAGAGAGAGAGAGAGAGAGAGAGAGAGATTAAGGAACTGGCTCACATGATTATGAGTTGGGGGCTGGCAAGTCTGAAATCTGTAGGGTAGGGCAGCAGGCTTGAGACCCAGGGAAGAGTTAATGTTGCAGCTTGAGTCCAAAGGCTGTCTGAACACAGAATTCCTTTCTCTTCAAGGGACCTCGGTCTTTTCTCTTAAGGCCTCCAACTGACCAGATGAGACCCATCCACATTGTGGAAGAGGACAATCTGCTTTACTCAAAGTCTGTTGATTTAAATGTTAATAATATCTTAAAAAATAGCATCACAGCCACATCTAGATACTTTGACCAAGCAACTGGGAACTGTAGCCTAGCCAAGTTGACACAAAACCAGCCATTATACTTCCTGACTATATTTTCATGGTAAAGAATTCAAACAACAGGGAGATATATAGAAGAAATACTGAAAGTCACATTTCCACCCCATCCCTTTCGTTCCCCAGAGGTGAACACTGTGAATTCCTCAGTCAGCATCCTTCCAGAACTCTGCCTATTCCTTTAACACTCATACATGTAAATATATTCATATAATTTGGTTTTATTTTACTTAAATGAGATTGTCCTGTAAGTGCTGTCTAGTGTCTTGTTTTTTTGTCTCAAATGGTAACTCATGGAAATCATTCTGTGTTAGTTTATCCATATTTATCTTGTTTTTTCAGTTGGACAAACAAAACATTCATTCAATGTTTACAAAATTAAATCAAGTAAAAATAAAAAATTCTCTTTGATCACTTCCTAAACCTCACTGTCCTTCTCAGCAGTAAGTGGTTTAAAAAAATATATTACTTTTTCGAGACAGGGTCTCACTCTGTTGCCCATGCTGGAGTGCAGTGATGTGGTCACAGCTTACTGCAGCCTCAAACTCCCAGGCGCAAGTGATCCTCCCACTTCAATTTCCCAAGTAACTGGGGGCACAGGCACATGCCACCACATCCAGCTAATTTTTCATTTCTTGTAGAGATGGGATCTTTCCATTTTGCCCAGGCTGGTCTTGAACTCCTGGGCTCAAGCCATCCTCCTATCTAAGGCTCCCAAATTGCTGAGATTACCAGCATGAGCCACCACACCTGGCCAGTGAGTACTTTGATAAGTTTGGTGTCAATCTATCTAATTAGACACAATATTACACAAAGAGGTGAAGATGGCAGGGTGGTCTCTGTATTTCCTTCATGTTCTCTTTTCCTCTCTGTTCTCACCCCTGTATAACTTGTATCAAGAATGTCATGCTATAACAGTGAACTTATGTGATATGATCTGTATTAATAAGAGAGAAGCTTGTTTGTCTTTCAAGTGTGCCACTATGAGGCATTTGAAAAATCTGAGCCTATTCCTATAGAGGGCTGTTAGCAACAGACAGCTGTAAAATTCAACCTTTTCATCCAGGCTGGAGCCAGGAACTATCAGTTCTTAGGTTGAGGAGACATATAAGGGTCAAAAAGAATTTTTCAACCAGAAAGCCAAGACTGACTGTGTTTTATTGTGAAAGTTTCTTAGATAAGTATCTGCAGGAACTTTCCAAAGGAAGCGATCAGGGGAAGGGAGGCTGTGGAGAGGACTCTGTAAACTGGTAGGATCCACTGCTACCCTAGGGGTGGGGGTGGGCATCATGGGTTGGACCAGAGCCAGGGCACAAATTGGGACCTGTGGTAGGTTGAATAATGGCCCCCCAAGGATAGCAGGTCCAAATTCCTGGAATCTGTATGTATTACCTTATTTGGGAAAAGGGTCTTTACAATGTGATTAAGCTAAAGATCTCGAGATGGGGAGATTATCCTGGATTATCTCGGTGGGCTCTAAATCCAATCACACTTGTCCTTATAAGGAGGTAAAGGCAGATTGTCTGCACACACACCCACATACAGGAGGAGGTGATATGATGAGGGAAGACAAACAGGTTTGAAAATGCTGGCCTTAAGACCAAGGAATACAGGCAGTCACTAGATATTGAAAGAGCTAGGAATGGATCCTCCCCTGGAGCCTCCAGACAAAGTGGGGCCCTGATGACATCTTGTTTCAGCCCAGTGATACTGATTTTAGACTTCCAACCTCCAGAACTGTGAGAGAATAAAATTCTGTTGTTTTAAGCCACACAGTGTGTAATAATTTGTTAAAGCATCCACAGGAAACTCATACAGGACCTAATCGAATTCTTCAGGTGTTAGCTGCATACACGTAGTTCCCCCAGCTCCTTCCTCCCAGAGCCTGTGGATGGAAGCATGGAGATTTTGATATTCGGGGGTATTTCTGTTACTGAGGAATGGAAAGAGAACATGAGGAGGAAGCTGAGTGCCTGGATCAATGTTTACTCCCCCTGTGAGTGGTTTGTGAGCTAGGCAAAAGAGGGGCAACAGAGAATACAGTTTACATGGCCCTCACCTTTTAGGGAGCACTCTAGGGGGAAAGCTCAGCCAGAGGTCCATGATCCCAGGAACAATATTAAGAAACTCTTAATTAATGGCACTCTAGCTGAATCTTAGAGTTGGAGTGCATCTGCCTTCACAGTAGTGCAAGAGAAATCCAGGGGAGGTGGGGTGGCTGTGTATGGCAAGATGCTGGATAAATGGAGGCAGAGACTGGCTGGGGACCCAGACATCCTAGATCACCCTGAAGGCCACCTGGGGCTATGTGTATAGCTCAGGGGAGGAGGAGAAGGCAGGCAGAGAAGTATTTGTTGCTATTTGTCCTTTGTTTAATTTTTGTTTATCATTAATCTCATAAATGTGAAAACAGCCAATTAATAACAATAACAATAAAAGACAAATGGCCAAGATTCATCTGAATGCATATTCTATGCATTTAACAAAGTAATTTTGAGGTAGGAGATCAGCAGGACTTGTTTTCTGAGCACTGGTCATGACCCCACTGATAAAAACAAGATCTGGTCAAAATATGTTATAGTAAAGAAACCGGTCATAACAGATAAAACCAAAGTGGGGATGAAAGGGACCTCTGGTTGCCCCCACTGCTCATTACAGGCTAATTATCATACATTTGCATGCTAAAAGACACTCCCACCAGTGCCATGGCAGTTTACAAATGCCATGACAATGCCTGGAAGTTACCTTATATGGTTTAAAAGGGGAGGAACTCTTGGTTCCACCCCTTTTCTAGAAAATTCATGAATCACTTATGCCTTATTTAGAACATAATTAAGGAGTAGCTATAAATATAACTAGCCAGCAATCCACGAGGGCTACTGTGCTTATGGGGTAGCCCTGCTCTGTCTATGGAGCAACCATTTTCCTGTACTTTGTTGCTCTGATAAACTTGTTTTGCTTTCACTTTACTCTGTTGGCTTTCTTTTGAATTTGTTCATGCATGAAGCCAAGAACCCTCCTGGGCTGAGCCCCTATTTGGAGATTTGCCCACATCAACTTCCCACAAACCTTCAAACGTTGGCCCTATCAGCCAAACACTTCCAAACATTTAATGAAAATTACCTGCCTATCATATGAGACACTCTTTAGTGTTTCAAACACCTTCAAAAGCAGACCAAGGTGGCATCTCAGGTGTGGTGGTGATCTCACAGGTGGCAGCAGAGGGGAGGTTTAACCTGTCAGGCTCACAGTGGCCTGGGCCTAGACCCCAAGGCATGTGCCCATGCTAGGATCTCCCACCAGCAGTGGATGGCCCTCAAGATAGCTTAGTGCCTAGATTTGCAGTTGGTGGAGTCGGGGTATGGGGAGGAGGGCTCAGAGTGTTGGGCATGCTGCTGTTCCTTTTGCAGCCCCCAAGCCTGGATGGTTCAGGAACCGCTCTCCCCAGAGAATGCTAAGAAACAGAAAGGGCTTCCCAGATTTATGCTAAGAGTATGTGTGCATGGAACATATATAGTCCAGCTGTCGTCAGATCGCAGCCCGTCCTGATGTCCCAATCAGAGTTTAAGTGGGTTCAGCCAAGTTACAACGTTCTGCAATACGTTTTTACCTGCTGGAGAACACAGAAGGAAGACAAGGAAGTAGAAACGAGCATGTGTAGTCCACTAAAGCAGTGTGTGTCTGGGACTGTGTGGAGGAAGGGTGCTGTCCCCGGGGCCCCCTCATGGGAAGGGGAAAAAGTGGCTTCCTTTTTCCTCTGTAATCTCTTTTGGGAAATTCTGTTAGTGCTCTTTTCCTCATGTTCGTTTCCACTTCTTTGTCTTTTGGCATTTTCTGGGAGAGTTCCTCGATCTTTAACTTTCAGATCTGTAATTTAGTTAACTGTCATCAGCCCTCCTATTGAACTTTTTCTTATTTTGGGCAATGCAGTTTAAGAATTTCAAGAATTCCCATTACTTAATTTTGAAACCAGCTTCTAGTATTTTACAGGTTTACATAAGTAGATCTGACCCTAGTCTGTTGTTAGGGTTTAACAAAGATGCTGCTCCCAAAAGACTCTCTGATCTGAGCATTGGCTTGCTGTCCACCTAGAAGAGACTCCGTGATTTGACATTGGATCCCATGCAGGGATAAGGCACTGAAGCTGCCACTGCAGAGGATTGGCAGCTAATAGTGCTGGTGCATTTAATATTTCAGCTCTTTATTCCACCCAGGAACCAGAAGCTCTCTGGCTGGTTCCCTAGTGACTTCGTGGACCCAAGCGTATACAACCATGGAATCCTGGCACATAACTTGCAAAGTTACTATAAACAAACATGCTGAAAGTATAGCCTTTTGGAGGTCAACTAGATTTCTCACATTTCCAAACCCTGCATTTCAGGAAATATTGTAGTTTTGGCAAAGGCCACCCACACCCACACCCTGGTGAATTCCTGAACCACCATTTAGTCACCCAGGAAAATGCTCCTTATGCTTCCAATCACCCCTTAGCCCCACCCTCACGTCACTGGGACTGAAGATTTACATATAATTATTGTAAACTATTAGGGGAAGGATGCTTTAGATTCCTGTTATGGACTATTGGTTACGAAAGATATTTTCATTTTCTTTAAGGGATATTGATTTAACCCATTTATGCCTGAGGTTGCAATTTTTTGAATTTTTACAATCAGACCTTGGTGATGACCTTGAGCAGTAGGATATAAATAACTCCCACATGCTTAGAGTTCCAATAATGGAACACTAGGCATAAATTGGTAATTTTAAGCTAGCACTGAAGTATGGAGTTTAGGTTTTGTGAATCATTCCTTTATAGGAGCAAGGAAACCTTGTATACTGAAAATGGTGCTGGTACAATCAAGAGGTTGTATGCTGGGATGACTAAACTCCCTGGGTGTGTTTCTTTCTCCAGCCCCCTTAGTTGCTAACAACCACTGTTGATATTAGACGTGAAAGACAGGGCCAGGCATGATGGCTCATACCTGTAATCCCAGCACTTTGGGAGGCCAAGGTAGTTAGATTGCTTGAGCCCAGAATTTGAGACGAGCCTGGGCAAGATGGTGAAACCCCATCTCTATAAAAAATACAAAAAAATTAGCTGGGCTGGTGGCACACACCTATAGTCCTAGCTACTCAGGAGGCTGAGGTGGGAGGATTGCCTGAGCTCAGGAGGACAAGGCTACAGTGAGCCATGATCACACCACTGTACTCCAGCCTGGGCAACACAGCAAAACCATGTCTCAAAAAAAAAAAAAAAAAAAAAAAAAAAAAAAAAAACCAAAAAAAAAAACAAAGTGAAAGACAGGAAGGTTTAGAATGGAGATGCTAAGCTCCCAAAGGTCATTTGGTGAGAAAACTATACTGGGTCCATGAATTTGTACTCTTTGACACCTGACATCTATAAAGTGAGAAAT